GTTGACTTCTAGGGCCGATTTGACTTCTAGGGCCAAGTTGACTTGGGGCAGAGTTGGGGCGAGTTGACTTGGGACCGAGTTGACTCAAATTCTTTAAGAACACCGAGGCTGAAATTGCTTAAAAATTAAGAACAAAATAAGAACAAATTGAGGCTGAGGTAAAATGTCAAAATGAGATTTTTATTTAAAAAAACTAGAAAAACCAACAAATATTATCTTAATTTGTAGTAGGTGCGACTATGTAATACCCTCTATAATACAGTACAGTAATATACAGTACTGAGCCTGTACAATAATAACTTTTTAAGTTAAAAAATACCAAAATAAGAATATTTTGAGCCTGAAATCGGTCAGAAAATAAAAACACTGACCCTGGGCAAAATTTTACTGGTTCTTATAAAAAAAAAGGTGAATTGTTCTACTTGGAAAATAAGTTTTCATTATACAGTACACGCACAACTGTCTGCTATCTATCTCAAACAGAAAATGCACATTTAAAATATTATTAATAATAATAATAATAATAATAATAATAATAATAATAATAATAATAATAATAATAATAATAATAATAATAATTAAAGGCGAAGTTTACCCTTAAAGTTTGTTAAATAAAAATGTTTTAGAATGAACTTTAAATGAATCTAAAGTAGTTGAATCTTTCACAAAGGAAGGGAGCTCATTCCATGGAGATACAGAGAAGCAAAAAGTGCGTTTGCCATAGTGTCTTCTTTCGGAATTTTGGGACGGTATGCAGTGATTTACGTGCAAAGCGGAGACGACGAGAGGGAGCATAGACTTGCCACAAGTCGCTTGTTATAGTTTTCCGTTATGATAGACAGCGCCGCCAACGAGCGAATAAAGTTCAGTTATAATTTTATCTTCGGTTGAGTCGTAAACAAGCGACTTGTAAAACACTGCGCAGATACCCGGATGCTGCAAAGAAATGACGTAAATCATTAAATGTTTATGTAAATACGCTTACAGAATTAACCAATCAAACTGTCCTCGTTTCGATTGTACGAAAGTAACGACGAGCAACAACAAAGTCGAATCTGGTGCGTTGCATCGCGGATCAGATAGGCCTCCTAGCCTAGCTAAAAATTAATTCGGTACAATGTTGGTGTCGAGACTACAAACAAGATGAGTAGGCCTAAAGAAAATGTAACGCCGCACAAGGTTTTTTCTAGAGTCATTTTGTCCCCCCATAAAATTAACTGCGTATGTCTGGTTTGTGGAGAAGCTACCGTAAAAGCAAGGAGAATATTTATTTATAGAAACGAAAATCCATCAGCAGTGTTCAACAGGCTAAGGTTGGTTCTCAGTCCCCAACAACTTTATTTACTGAAACCGAACGACAATATATCTTGCTGTCAATATTGCGACAACAAATTGAAAACGATAGGTAGGAATATCGACAAGTTAAGAGACTCTGCAAATGCTACGCTACAACGTTTTAAGAAAGTGGTTGAAATAACCAAGAGAGGAGCAAATATACTGGAAGCAAGTAGCAAACACACGCGTAAAAGTGATGATGATAGGCCTAGGCCTAGTCCCATGTCAACTAGGAGCCCTGCTGCTGCTGCTCCAGGGGAATGTGAAGTCAGTTTGCCTAGGCGTATGCCTCCTCCTTCTTCTAGGCATTGGTCTACCTCTTCATCAGATCCAAAAGCCAGACGAAGTTTGTCGTTGAGTATTACAAAAGAAGTAGGCATACAGACCAAATATGTACTTGAAACGGATACTAGAACTAGACCTACTGCTACTACTGACGCAAATAAGGTACGTATTTTAAGGCCTAGGCCTACACTAGGCCTACCCTAAGTAAAGTAGTAATATACTAATAAATAGATAGGGACAGATGTAGGCCCCACGCTTGGCTAAGCAAAATTTTTTCTTTTGTTAAAAAATCCAAAAGTGTTACTGGTGAAAATGTGTTGATGATGATAATCTTAGCCTAGGCCCAGGTAGGCAAATGTCTAAATTTTAAAGGCACAAACCTACTTGGAATTTCAAAATTTAGGCAGGTCATATATATTTAAGTCACATTGAAAAGAAAAACACCATATTTGAAAGTAGTATACCTGGGACTCTAAAAAGAATTGTTTTCTTTCATAGGCTTGTTATTAAGTGTTATTTTGTTGCTAATTAATATCCTTTTTAAACAGGAATTTTCATGTTATTTTTTTTTTCTCAACTATCCTTGAACACCTAAATGTAGGCATGCTGCACATGGCAATATATATATATATATACTGTCTCTTATACACATCTAGATGTGTATAAGAGACAGGTTTACTACGCGTCCGAAGGATACCTGCTGCATCTGGTCCGGAAGTGGCTGACCTCCAATCCCGGCGAAATATAGTAAAAATTATTAATATTCTTATTTTTTATTCTTATCTTAGATGAAGGAATCCGTTTTCAAACAATGTTGTGCTATGGTCAATGAGGAGGTATTGTATATATTTTTTATACCCCTATCAATTAAAGGGACACATTCTGGACTAAAACAATTTTCCCCACACATATTTTTCCACAATGTATGCATATTTTCATCTTCTCTGACAGCACTTGGGTGGGAGTGGGGTGGCAGGCAGGCTTCCCCCCCCCCAACCCTCTCTTGAATCTGCCAGTGGATGCAGTTAGCTGGTATACATGATGTTATATTTCAAGCACAGCTGTAGAGTGAGAATTTCTATTCTATAATGTCACAAATAGTACATATTTTTATAATAAGGCATTATATTTCTGTCGAGATTTTCGTCCTTAATCTTGATAGCTGGAGAAATGCATGAGTCGCATACGAAATAAGTGATGCTTGGTATGTAGGTCTATGGCTTTAATGAAATATAAAATGCAGCAGATGTATACTCAACGAAGGAGTTTTTTTAACTTTAATGAAACATGCAAGATGTACATTATCATCCTACACTTGCTCAAAAAGTGTTGAATGTAAGCAAATATTTATAAAATACAATCTTGTGAGCATTTATTATTTGATAAGTATAATTTCTCTTTTATATTAAGGTCAGTGTAATTTGCTCACGAGAGGGTGATTGGTCATCTGTCCTGAGAAGAACCTCCAAGGAAGATCTTGCCTTATTCCAATGGGATGTATTTCATGAAGAAATTAAGGAGAAAGCCCCCCATTTTTTGCAATTCATTATGGCTGCTGTGAGCAATCCCCGACAAAAGCAGAATGTTAGGAAAACAACTGAAAATTTAATGCCAGCAATCCTGGATTGTAGTGCCAAAGTTTTCAGTATTTACAATGACCAAATGAATGCTATGAGGAAGATCAAGGGCATTATTCTTAAAAAGGCTGGGCTAAAAAAGGTATGCTTTGTTTATAAATATAAACTACGGTACATTATGGCATAGTTCACTCCGTTTTGTCATATGCAGTATGAATGTAGGCAAAAATGACCCTGGAAAAAAATTCCCCCATGAAAAAAAATCTCCCAGGAAAAATATCCCCCAGTAAAATGGCCCAAGTGACAGCAGGTAGGTATGACCCCCAATAAAATTTAGTAATAAATTTGATTTTTCTTTAAATGTGACAAAATAGCAAAAATTGAATCAATAAATCAGCATCAGTGTTTAGTAGTCCATATGTTTTTAAGAATATCTTGTTTATTTGGAAATAATTAATAATTTTACGGAATAGGTACAGAGTACCTTCATTGTTTATTAAAGTTCTTTTAGTAAAATAAACTATACATGAAACATATTGACTTTGTTATTAGTTTAATTTGTTTAGGTGAAATCACAACAGGTCAGTTGTAAAAACTTGTGAACATACCCATTTGATCTAAACTTATTTTGGAAATACAGCAAGTTAGAATATATCTAGTATTAACATTTTCATTAAAAAGGTACTGTCAAGTGGATTTTAGCATGAATTTACAAAAATACAAGTTCATTTGAAATTTTTTTTAATTGAGGCCACTTTTACCTACCTGTCATTTGGGGCCATTTTACTGGGACCTTTTTACAGGGGCAATTTTTACCGTACACCATACAGTATATATTATATAGTATACATATGATAAATTATGTTAACATTTATACTTTAAGAAATAATTTTTAAATTATACATATGTATTTACTGTACTTCTATTGCTACTGTTAAAAATATAATTACTGGTGATTATGATGGTAAGGATTATGTATTAATTCACACCATGAGACAATTATTGTATTTTTAATAGATTGGATTTCAACGATTAGCAACACTGTATGATACTATCAGCTATCAATCAGTAAATAGTTTAATGGAAGACTTTGGCAAAAACTTTGAGGAACCTATTCTAGAATGGAAAAGGTGTGAAGAAGAATGGCAAAAACAGGAACAGGCCAGCACTTCATCTCAGGTCACCTCAAACAAGCTTATGCCACTTGGATATTCATTTACAGGTAAACATCATAGAAGCTTAGCTTTCAGAATGTTTGTTAACGAATTAACATATTTTCATCTTTTTTATTGGTACTTAAATACTATACACGATAAGTCACTGAATCATAATTTTCACTTTTTTAAGGCGACAACGTTGATGTACGTTTTAAGGTGAGACATATGACCACTACAAGACAGAACAAAGACCACCATTTGTATCAACTTATTTCATATCAGAATAGAATAAGTGGTAAACATCTTCCCAATGAGAATGCAGTATTAGATGTCAGTACAGTTTCTAGCAGTGTTTTTTTGCCATCAAATACTGATAACCAAAAATTGACAAGTGAACTGGTGTGGCTAATCTGTCAAACTTGGACGCAATACATTCCTGCACTCAGTTGGTTGAAGGAGATGTTACCTAAATATATCCCTCACAAGTTCATGCAGGAGGTCAAAACAAAGACTTCAAAGGTAAACTCAACAAATACCTACTTAATTGTTAATGACATGACAATGGACACTCTGAATAATGTTAGGTGAATATCTGGACATTAGCTGCCAGACTGACTAATATTGAGTAGCTTGCTCATATATGTAAAAGGTCGAATCTTTTGCCTCTACTGAATAACATACAGTAATACGTTTCTTTAAATATTTTCATGACATGATATGTGTATTGATTCTGTTAAATATAATTAATATTTTGTTGATTGTTTGTATGTTTAATTTTGTCTAAATTATTTTTATTTACAATTATTAATTATATGTATATGTATTTTTTTTATTTCAACATTTTCTGATTGAAGTTGTTTAAAAAACATCTTTAAGTAAGCATTGCTGTATTTCATGTTTTATACTAAATGTTTTTGTTAGCAATCAATAAAATTCTGTTTAATTTTAACAGTTGTTGAATAACTGGAATTTTGTGGGCTATATCTATAATTCTAGGATTATTTGTCTTGTTTATACAATAAAGGTAACATGTGACTTTATTTTAATTTAGGTGCATCTTGGTGTCCTAGAGAAAAACGAATGTAAGGAGGAAGACATGCTTGACATCTGTAAATATTTACATAAGTATGTACCAAACCATTCAGATGATGCCACAAGTACTCAGAAACCAATCAAGGTATGGTATTAGGTTAATCATCAACTAAATTAGTTAAAATGCAGATTGTTTGCATTTAATATATAAAAAAATTTCATTCATGGATTTTATTCAATATAATATTCAATATAAAAAATTCAAGCAAAAAAGTTAAAATTAAGATTATATCATAAAAACTACAAAATTACCATAAAAAAAAATAAATGAGTAAGTGAATAAATAAATAACGGGGGAACACTGAAGGCAGAACAGAAAATGTCTTCAAATTTGAGTTGTAATTATTATTAGTTTTCAATTCCAAATCTTTCATAGAAATGTTTATATCACCATCATTTTCATTATAATTGCCAATGATATTGTTATCATTTTAAAATAAATAATAACAGTTGTACATTACATTTGATGCTTTATAAATTTTAAGCTTAGAATCTGAATTAATAACCATTTTTTATATTATTTATTTATTATTTATTCATATTTAATATTAATATATTAAAGGTTATTGATTATTATTTATTATTATTATGCATTATTACATTTGGATGATTTTTATTTGTATATATTATATATATTTTACAAAAGATTCTAAGCGGGGGTGACTACCTGACTTTTGAAAGGCACAAAGGAGCACAGTCAACCATGCAAGATGCTCGAACGCCATCGAAACGACTTGAGGGTTTAATTCCAAAAATGGAGGACTTTCATCAGCAAGCAGAATGGTTAGAAGCTGTAAGTTAATGTACTATAAAATATGCTCAGCTATCAGTGGAGTTAGTGGAGAATAAAAAAAAAATTACACAATTGCATTCGCTCTATATTGTCATTTTTCAGGTTTGTTGGAAACAACTTTATGATACAAGGTCAGCACGTGACGCAGGTACTCTCTATGCAGCGAGAAATGTACTTAATGCCAGAAATGTTACAAACCGTCCACACAACTGTTACTATGCAGCGTCCGACTTACTAGACAAGTACACAGATGCATACCTTGTAGCTGGTGCTCTCACTTTCTTTGGCATGGATGGTGTTAATTGTGAACCATCAGAAAATACCTATGATGGATCCCCAATAGATGTTTTGAGTAAGGAAGAATATGTCAAGTCAGTCATTACCAAATTTATTACTACTTACATCTTCTCTGACACACCAACAATACCTGAAACACCACCAGAAAGCTCTGACTTCAAATGCTCTTTCTGCAAAAAGGTGTACAAACGAGTACCTACATTAATCAAGCATGAAGAAGTAGTACACCAATTCAAAAGATCTGAACAGCAACCTCCAGCACCGGAACGAGTAGAAGACAACATTTACAACTACACACGAAAAGTACTGATACTGACAATGCTTAGAAGGAATCACAACAATGCAATTAAGATGGGTGATGGAGAAAGGGTTGTCAGGCTCTATAAATACTTCCTTCTATTTTATAAAGCCTGCTCAAATGCCCCAAAATATGCACATGGAACCTTTGAGACTCTAGCACAAATATCCTGCCTGCTGACCGAGAGACAATCATTTAATCTTACATGGAATAGATTTGTAAATTATAGACACAAAACAGACACAAATTTTCCAATGGATCTTGATGTGGAACACACCAACAAGGCATTTAAAGATGAATTGCACTCATACAGAGGGGAAGTAACAGAAAAAACAATAAATAGAATAAGCAGGAGCCTAATGTTCACTGAGGAAATTCTACATAACTTTGACCAGCAAGCAAAAGTAAAAAAGCCAAGTGGAATGCATACTGACGTTGACTTTACTGAGGACGTCTTAACTCTTGTGAATCAGTTCCACAAACTGAACCTGTTTGAGTATATACCGGGCAGGGCGTACACCATGTTTCCAGTGGTGGCGAGCAACATGCTAGATACACTTGACATGGAAAAAATGAAGATATGGCTGAACAAAACTCTTAAAAAACTAGCAGGCAAACACTATTATAGACAAGAATAATGATGAATGTATAGTGGTATACTTTAATGATTAATATTGTAATTGTTCTGGAATGTACATATACAGGTTTTAGTATCCATATAAATATATTATATTAATATATATTATATAATTATTGTAATTTATCTGTAGCTCCACTATATGTGGTAGTGTTTCAGTCAGTTGTAGGTCTCTGCGGTTTACTGATATGACTCTCGCCCTAACAGCGAGAGGGTGCAGGTTCGATTTCCGCCAGATACACTTTTTTCATACTTTTACATTTTAATCTATGATTTCAAGCTGCGACCTATAAGCTTTTTTGGTATTCTATAGCTCCACTATAATTTGTGGGTGTTTCAGTCAGTAGTACGAGAGAAAGTGCCTCGTGGTTAATTATGCACGTATATGCTACAGGCTTCCATGGTCTTATGGATATGACACTCGCCCAGATTGTGAAAAGTTCCAGGTTCGAATCCTGGTAGACACATTCTTCATACAACTGTAATAAATTTGTGGAAGGGCTATGCTTGTTCCTATTTGTGCACTGTTATTATTTATCCCTTGGTTTTATCCCTTGTTTCATACGATACTACAGTATGCGGCATATCTAATTGGAATATTACTAACTTCCAAGGTGCAAACTACAAGCTTATCTAGCTTATCAATTCAACAGCTCCATTATGTGTGAGCATTTCAGAGAAAGCACCTAGTGGTTATATACTCAAAACATTTTATTAATAATTAGTAACTATTCAACTCGCTTTTTATTTATTTAATATCGGCTCTTCTATTGGGCACTCTGTTGGTAATACTTGCGTGTCGGTGTGTGTGACAATATAAAATCAAAGTCAAACAGGTTGTAATCTGCCTCAATGAAATTTATTACTAAGACATGTTTCAGCCATAGCAGCCCATCATCAGGTCCATATACAGTAGATGTAACATGGAGCAGGTACATATATATCAGTGGGTAAACAAACAATATCATAATAAACTAATCATAGTAGAAAGAAATATAAACTACAGAAAAACGACTGTCTTAAGGTCTGACATGCAGTACCTGATGATGGAATATGTATATATATATATATATATATATATATATACACACACACTGGTACTGGTAGTAGCTGTCAAAGCGATGAAAATGACAAAATAAAAGATAGGCTGAAATATTTTTGGAACATAATTTATTCAACACAGTATTTTCATTAGCGTAAGAGATACATTTCGTAGCCAAAAATGGCATTCAGTAGTCTCAAGTGTAACAATTGATGTTCGTACAGTTAATTAAGACAGACTGCAAAAACTAATTGATCGTATTAAAGGTTTATGTCTGTTCTGTTTATGGGTCAGAATCACTTTGCCTGTTTGTGTTTTCTATCAATAAAACCACTTTTGATTCTATCCAGTCGTGAAGTTATTAGGAAAATATATAAATTTATATTAATAATATATTGTTAAATACATAAAGTTAATATTAGAATATATTTCAGACAGATATTGAACACATATGTACAAAATGCTTTACAATGCTTGAACTTATTATCTCATCAATGCTGCAGGTTTACTGTACAACATAAAATGGACATACAGTATTATGAAATTAAAATTATTGGGATGAGAAAGTTACTATTAATATTATTGGGTTTTTGTTTTTTGTTTTTATTTGAGCAGTACAATTACATTTGGCTACATCGATCAGTGTGGTAAAACAAATTTTATCATCAGTGTCGTAAAACAAATTTTATCATACATACAACTTTATTTACAGATCTCAAAATCAATTCTCTATAACGTTGAAGTTTTAAAATAAAATACTACAATACGCTAAACAAGTATGTACAATGCTTATATACATCATCACTTTATACATCATCATCATCACTACTAAGTAGCAAAGGTTGTTTGAACAATTCTGTATCATCTGAATCACTGTCAGAAATGCTTTCTTCATTCGAGGAAGAACTTGCGTTACTACTTTCGTCTTCTCCATCAAATGACTGTAGACTAGATAGTGAGTTGTGGAAAACTGATTTTACAATTTCCCATGAGCGTTGTGCATGTTCTGTCTTGTAAAATTGAAAATGATTCATGAACACAGTGCTTCCAGTAATGTATGGTAGATCTCTAATGATGTGGTCAATTAGTTGATTGCTATATTGAGTTGAAACATTTACATTAGTAAACAAATTATTATCAGTTAAATTGTCTGCTAGTTCATTTCTATAAATATATAAATTGTTCCGTACCTCTGTTTTCTGTTCAATAGAGATAGATCTCAACATTTTACCAAAACAAGCTGACTTTTTTTAATCTGCTTGAGCGATTTCCTTTTGAATTTTCAGTTCCAATGTATTGCCAGCATATGTGCATTGCTGTACACAGGAACATGCACCATCACAATTACATTCACATGTGCATTTGGCAGAACAAATGTCGCAACACAAGTGTTTCACCATATCAGATGGTTTACAGTCAAAATAACTCATTAATTTTTTTCTCCTACATTCATTTCCATTTACATACTCATTCATAGCTTTGGAAACTCTAGTAACACTTTGGCTGTACTTAACTAATATAGCATAGCTTTGTACAGATGTATCTCGGCCTGCACGGCCAGTTTCCTGTAAATAATCGTCCAGATCATTTGGTGGCCCAAGATGAATAATGTTTTCAAGTCCTTTTACGTCCATACCCATCCCAAATGCAATGGTGGCGAACAACACGCGTATCGTTCCATCGTGATCAGCAAATGATGATATTATTGTCTCCTTTACCTGTGAATCTGTTCCTTGTTGAAACATAGCCACAAATCGGCTTCTATCATCTTTTGTTTCAACTGTGAAGTCATATGCATCATCGCCTAAAGCAGTTATGAAAGTTTCATAAAGTTCTCTACAATGTCTCTTTCTTTTGCAAAATATAATAGTTCGAACAGCATATTTTCTGTCTCTTATACACATCTAGATGTGTATAAGAGACAGCACACTGGTACTGGTAGTAGCTGTCAAAGCGATGAAAATGACAAAATAAAAGATAGGCTGAAATATTTTTGGAACATAATTTATTCAACACAGTATTTTCATTAGCGTAAGAGATACATTTCGTAGCCAAAAATGGCATTCAGTAGTCTCAAGTGTAACAATTGATGTTCGTACAGTTAATTAAGACAGACTGCAAAAACTAATTGATCGTATTAAAGGTTTATGTCTGTTCTGTTTATGGGTCAGAATCACTTTGCCTGTTTGTGTTTTCTATCAATAAAACCACTTTTGATTCTATCCAGTCGTGAAGTTATTAGGAAAATATATAAATTTATATTAATAATATATTGTTAAATACATAAAGTTAATATTACTAAAACTTTACTTTGGTGACACTTCACACTGTTATATCCAAACGATTTTATTACAGTAGTAATACTTTTTACAACTTTCTCATCCATCGCGTTTCCGGCCTAGTTCCAGTTCCTTATTTCTCATCTCAGCTCTTTCAACTCAAGTTAAAACTAATTTACAAATATTAAATATGCATGAAGTAAGCCAATCACGTGATGTAGAAAATCAGTCATGCATACGATATCCCACATCGAATTTGATGTGGGAAATTGCACGCATGAATCGTTTGCCCAGGCCCTAATTCGAAAAAAAAGAAATCGAGTATGGGACGCCAATTACATTTGGTATGGCGCGCATTAAGTGCAAAAAAAAGTAAATAAACCAAAATTAGGGCCTGGAACCCAGGCTACACTCAATACAGTATCTGTACCATCACTCAAGGCATCCACAGGGTGTCACAGAACTCGATTCAGTATCTGTACCATCACTCAAGTCATCCACAGGGTATCACAGAACTCAATACCTGTACCATCACTCAAGGCATCCACAGGGTCTCACAGCACTCAATACTGTATCTGTACCATCACACAAGACATCTGCAGTGTCTCACAGAACTCAATTCAGTATCGGTACCATCACTCAAGGCATCCACAGGGTCTCACAGTACTCAATACTGTATCTGTACCATCACTCAAGGCATTCACAGGGTCTCACAGAACTCAATACCTGTACCATCACTCAAGGCATCCACAGAGTCTCACAGTGCTTAATACTGTATCTGTACCATTACACAAGGCATCTGCAGGGTTTTCTTTTTTGCATTATTTTTATATTTTGATTATAATTATTCTTATTATCTTCTGCTGTAAAATAAATTGGTAAATTATCACCAGTCAATAACTGGATTATTCAAATTAAATTTGTACAATTTCCTACATGTACTGTACAGCAATCCTGGTTTACTTTACAGTATTACAGGTAGTAAAATTATCAATAATAAAGTATTATTTTTAAAGTCTAAATTCTATCCAGAAATAGTACAGTACTTCAAAAAGTTATGATTGGTCCAAATTTTTCTATAAATGGGTTATTTAATCTTTTTGCGATAAGGTTGATAGGAATCACTCAAAAAACATACAGTTAATTTACAATACTGTATGGGAAGTTAACCAAACTTCAATGAAAAATTAGACGACAGTATCAATTTCACAATTTACTATCAATACGAATTATTTAGGCCAAGTAATAAAAAAAAAATGTTTCTTGAATCAAAATTCGTAATGGCTTTTTCAGATCAAATTGTTTGCTGTGACACCATTTGTAACATAATCTTACCTACACAGGTCAATCTAGAGTACATATTATATGATATTCAAGCAAAATGCACAAATCCATACCATATTTTATTACGAAAGAATGCGGTAAAATCACATAGTGATTATTTTAATTGAAGCAGCTGTAAGAACTGGGAATAAGACAAAATCCTCTACTTTCTTTTCTTGTAGAACTGTACTGTTATATTGACTACTTTCACCCACTATTTGAAAGTCATCAATAATTGTTATGAACAACAATAACACCACATTTTATTACAGTACTGTACATTAGGTCTATATGTCTTGAACAACTGCTGGGGATGTGCATTAGATAGCAAAGTATAATTTATTTTAAATTAAATTTTGATATACTACCTCATGATTATCCAAACTAGCGCCCCTTAATTAATTCTTAATCCCCATTAGCCACCACCCCCCTCCCCACCCGCAATCAACAGATAAAATTTATTAGAATGAAATAAAAAATTATCTTTATCCAGAGTTGTTTTTTGTTGCAAGATAAAAATCATAAAGTGTCACTATAAATAAATTGAACCCAAGACTCTGCAAATTGAAAGGCAAACATAATCAACTATTCAACTCCACTCCATGTAGGCAGTCAAACACTATCAAAATAATAGGTTCACAGATGACTATTTTGGAGAATCGACAGTACAGTTATTTGGTTTCTGCCTTTCTCTAATAAGTCTCTAGGTAAGGTACAGTATCTACCTGACTATCTACACATTAACAACAATCATGATAATATTTATTCATCTTTAGTTCACAACCCACAGTTTTTTGTCTTTTTTTAGCTTTCATTTTTGGATCGTTTCTTTCCAAAAAATCATAATTCCAGTAAAAACAGTGGTCTGTAGATTTTGTTTCACATTTTGATTATCAATCAAATTGGTATAAAATACTAACTACTGTACCATACTGCTTCATTTCCATTGAAGTCAGCCACACTTCTGCACAGCAAACAACTCAACTTATTAAAGATCAGCTGACTCAGTGACACAAACAAAATTTGCAGATTAAATATCTCAGAAAAACAAAACCAACATAATTTGAAAAAAAAAATGTTTTGATAGGTTTACAGTAACTTACAGTACTGTATGTACTGTATTTGCTCTGAAAAAAATTCAATAGACAACCATGTGACCTATCATGGGTATTATGAGTTTAACAGATCTTATTCTTAGTAAGAAACTGAGAGGAAGGAAATTGTTAGGAATAGGAAATGCCAGAAAAATAATATGACTGTAACCCAGCTAAGTAAATACAGCCTACTACTAAATCCAACAAACCATTTCAAGAAGCCAGCCAAGACATGCACTGCCGGTTATTAATAATTTCATATTATTTGTGTCTAGTGCCAATGCTACACAGAATGAATAGAAACGTCAGAGTTTTACTGTGTAATTATGTATTGAACTATATAAAAACGATGTGTTGCATACTTTAATATTTTGATCAGAAAGAATAATATTACATATTGTCATTGACTTTAGAAAGTGTTAAGCTTACTGAAGATAATCAACTTGAATAACAGAAATAATCACATTCTATTGATTATAGTTGCTGTATATTTTTTACTTCATCATTTGATCTTGAAAATGACACCATGAAGTAGTCGAAACGTTGATCTTTTCTTTTTAGCGTTATTTTTATGTTAAATATTTATACAAAACATACTCTTATTAATAATCACATTGGTTTGAAAAAAATCAGGTGATACGACAATTCAGATTATAGTATCCTGTTGTAATGCTTAGAAGAATATTTTTTCACAATAGTGTCTCATAATATATTTTACCTTTGAGGATAAAGACTTTTTTATATTTCTATACTGATCCCTTAAATATAAAGTGACTTGGTCATGATCTGTCCGGTAATAAATTTACATGATCTGTCAGAAAAAATAAGAAATTCAAAGCAAGATAAACCTTGATTGAATTTGAATTGATTATGAGATAAACAATATTTTTGTAAACAGTTTTTTATAAACATCAAGACTGAAATCTCATTTTTTTTAATAGTAAAAGTGTATTAAAACGAAATTGCAAATATTCTTACCTTTATGATTTGAAGGTTTTAATAACGTCCATGATATATGCTCGGCAGATTGGACATGGGGAACCAGCTAATCTCAGTTTCTTGCCACATTCAAAACAGGTACACATATGTCCGCATTTGTAGAACACCGCATTCACAGACTTTTCAAAGCATACAGTGCATTCTCCGTCATCCACAGATTTTTTTGATGGCTTAGGAGGGTTGGCCTTCTTCTGCACAGGTGCTGCAGCGGAGTGCTGCTCTTGCTTTGTTGCAGGCAATGCAGGAACTTCAGGCGCACTAAGGACTTCGGGAGTTATATTCGTACCGTCAAGATGGACGTAAAGATTCTCAACGAGCTCACGCATTCCAAGAAAATCAGAATCATTGCCAACGGGAGGTTGAGGAATTTCATCCTCCAATGGAAGGCTTGGTGGGATTATTGAATGACGTTTGATGCCTGAAATTAAAACAAAAATTGTGATGTTAATGGGAATTATGACTGCACAAACATTTAAAATATAATTTTAAGGAAAAATTGAGAGTTCATGGCAATTTCCCTTTTAAACTCCATTGATGCCTGGTTTCCATACAATCGCTACACTCTCGCTACAGTTTTTTTTACTGCAATCGTTGCATTGTGTATTTGTTCCCGACGCAATCGGGAACGTTCCTCAGTATCGCTAGAGGAGTCCGCGATAGCGTGTACCGATGTTTATGGAAACCAGTCTTAAATTGCTTCTACCGTAACTTTGTTGTTGAGATGCTGTCCTTCTGTGCCACTGTGGTTGTTGGTCGATCCCATAAACTCCTGGAATTTAAATCTCACTCTCGCAAAAGCTTTTAAATTAAAACATTACTTTATTTCCATTACAATCAAGGAATCTGTACAAACCTATAATTGGTAATTAACTTTACTAAATTTAAGGTTTCCTTTTATTAACATGAAACCTATTTTAATACAAAAATGAGGTCAACTATATGCAAAAATCTTACCTAGAAGTCGTATGACTTGTGTATTTCCATAAATGTCAAAGGCGGCCCAAAGGGGCTGAGATATATCAACATGCATAAGGGTGCCGTGTAATTGTCCATGTATTCGGCACAAAACTTTTCCTTCATCGTCTATCATAAATGAAATAGTGTCTCTCTCCTCTGGGATTGGGAAATCACGGCTAAATGCCCAGAATTCCGGACGATCATATAGAGCTTCGACATCATCAGGAATATCATTCAAATTCAATATATTGGGGTCACAAGACGTCACACCAAACCCTAATTGGCCAACAAATTTACTAGAGACCTCAATGACTTTTATAACAATCTCTTCCCCAATTCTTAACGGTCTGTGAGAGAAAACTATACCTCCTTGGTAGGAGTCGGTTTTTCGCTTTGCTTGCTTTTTATGTGATCGTAGCCGAACACTATGTCCGTGCACTTCATGGAAGTGTACACGCTCCAGGTCCAAGGTGTCGTAATTTTGTGTCGGTAATGTGTTGGCAGTGTTTTGTGTGGTAGCATTAGGTATACTTGATTCATCAACGGCAGAATGCGATGGAGGTGTTGTTCTTGAGGCAGGTAATGAATTTGCAATGGCACGCGGTATAGCAGGACTACTTTCTGTAAACAACAACATTTTAATATTTGATATGAATACTAACTAAAATTGGAGCTACTGTTTTTGACTTGGTGGATAAGATAATTCTTTTTAAAATCTTAAGATTCTTAGGTTTAAAGATTTATTGTCCCCTGAAAAAGACAAAAAATCAAGTAATTTTGAAATTAACCAGTATCAAATTATTAACCTGAGCTTAGAAATTATTGAAATAAAAAAATGTGTACCCTGATTTTATACTGTATGACGATAAAATACTTTTTACAGTAATTTCTATTTCAAATTAATATTTTGATGTTATTTCAAAATAAGCAAGCTTATTTTTAAAATGATTATGACAATTTTGGGGTATTCTTCATATTATAATACTGTACAACATTTGAGCCAACAAAAAAGTCTTTAAAAAAAAGCTTAAAAGTTAATTAATTACTTAATTAGTAAATGAACATCATACACTGTAGTTTTGAAAACTCCCAACTAATCAAAAGAATCAATAGCTCAGCAAGATGCTAAATATCACTGCAGTCTATCAAAAGAGAATAGCAATTAAGGCAGAACTTAGATACAGTACACACTGTTATTATTTTTGGTATTTACCATAATTAATACAACGAATCTCACCTTTCAATCTAACTCCAGTAGTGTTGCCATAAACATCAACTAATGCCCAAAGAGGGCTGGATATATCCACATCACTAAAAAAAAGCTGGTATGTAGCGTTATCCATCTTAAAGTACACTTCTCCATATTCATTACAATAGAAAGTCAAAAGATTACCATTGCCTGCATAGTTCTCACGAAGTGCTTTGGCCCAGTAGCCTAGCTTAACCGTTAAATCGGGACAAGCGTATCTAGGCAGACCACCTAAAGCAATCCTAGCTGGGTTCTGTTGAGTGAAACCGAAACGTAACACGCCGCTCCACGAACTTGTACTGTGTACAAGCTCCATATTAACTTCTTCATTGATCGCTATTGGCCGACTGGTAAACACTATTGCGTTGCAGAAGCTACCGACTCGGGAAGCTAATTTGCCATTTTCTGATAACTGAATGTGTTTTCCATGGACATGGTGAAAGCCTAGTGGTGCATTATCATTTCCATCTCCACCAGTCCTTGCACTGACCACCGGTATATGTGGGCTATTATATTTGCTGGAGGTCCAGGAGTGTCTCTGATTGGGTTGACCTGTATAAAAAAAAACTTTTTATTTTATTAAAATATTCTGACAGTACCTATTGTTAGTTGCAATGCCATAACATCTAATCTCAATAAAATGCAGTGGCAGACTGAAGTGGGAGCCCAGCCTGCCCCGGCTCCCTTCTCCCTACATTTTTTAGTTTAGGAGAGCCATTTCCAGCCATTTAGAGACTAGAGGTGCCATAATCATCAATTGTCTTGCATAAGCCTCACCAATGGTGGGGATGTGGTGGTATAGACCCCATATCTGTGTAAGTTGTCCCTCCCTGGGCCCCCTCTATTTTGAATTCCTGGATCCACCACTGATGTTGAGAAAAAAAATCATGGCATAGTCCATTGGTTGCTTTGTTAATTCCACTTTAGTACACTCTGGCTATACAGTATCTAGACACTCCACTGTACATGAGATTTATTCAGTGTAAACACTAAGTTGATCAATACCCTACTCTTTACGAAACTGCGTTCTTTATTGGCACATGGGCCATTGCACTCAAGACCAACGAATTAAACATCTCATTCGATAGACAGCGCATTTAAGCGCACACACAGTGGCTGCCACCATTTAAGCTGCTCTCCAGTACATTAGATAAATTTATAAAACAAACTGCTTTTACAGATATAAATCTGTAATATTAGTGTCAACCTAATACTGTAGGGGTGCCCTTAATAGAGGTGTCCCAAAATAAAGGAAGCTGTTAATATACAAAGTTTCTTGTATTTGCACTTAAAAATGTTAGGCCTTGTATAGTCATTGAATGAAAGGGGAAGTAATCCTCTAGGCCTAGTTCATGTGGGCAAGGTTGATTGTCAGAGAATCGTTTATACTGTACGTCATTACCTGCCTACTCAAAGCTCTGTTCACATTATTATCGAGTTTTCAGTGACAATTATTTTGAGATCTGTCCATATGGCATAATGATGTCACATCGTGTCCTCAGAAAAACACAGATGCCACAAAAACTTTATGGTATGGACAGAGACCACCAGTAAGTTTTCACACTGGAAATTTCTCACTACATAAAAATCCTCAATTTATTGTAATGTACAGTGTACTTCCAAAAAACCAAGACAGGAAATTAAAATATGGTGAATAATTGCAAATAAATTTAAAAAGAACAGCTTGCAATAAGCCTAGGCCACAACTCTAATCATAAGTTTTCAATTATCAGACATTTGCTTTATATTATAAATATCTTTGAAATTTTAGCGAATATTTTTTGCTAACCTCCGTGCTAAACCTACCGTTGATACATAGCCACGAAGAAAAGGGATCGCGAACAGCCAGCAAAACGGTCTAATTCGCCATCGGGAACCAGTGCAAGTTAAATTTGGTAGGTTACATGGCCGTAATAGTAGTTCAACCGACACCGGATTTTGGTAAATGGTAGTTCAAGTCCCTAATAATTTTCAGTAAAATAGGTAGCGCAAGTGTTTATGTCTTGGAGTGGCTGCTGTATCACCCCCCCACCCCCATAAGTTTGGTACAGTATTCAAATGAGGTCGCCAGGAACACAGTAGGCCTTTATGGTATAATTTTAACACTAATCTGGTGAGAAACACTTCATTTGTTTATAGTTTTCAGTTGTTGAAAATTAAGTTTCAATCAATCATCATAGTTTTTTTTTAATTTCAAATCAAATTACAAATTGGTGGAAAAGAAAAAACCACAAGCAAAGCCTAAAACAGTGGGTCCCTTTTAAATAAATGAAATACATATATTTATAACTAACATGTAGAAAAGACAAATGAATAAACAAATAAAATATGATGAATAATGAATACAATGAGACAAAAAAATATAAATAAAAAAATTCATACAATTTGTTTATTTTATAATTATGTATAAATACCACATTATTATAACAAAGTGGTAAAGCATCCCCACAAATCTATATATAATTGTTGCTTTATTAAAATCTTAACTGATAAACCTAGGACTAGGCCTAGACTATCTTAGGCAAGCCGCTATCTTATTGTTGAAGTACAGTACCTCCTCGACCAGAGGTTGTCATGCTACCTCCGCCAGATCCGTAACCACCGTCTAACCCATCGTCGTTCCTGCTGTAGGTTGATGGATTTTGTCCCATTCTCCTTCCTTGTGTACCTTACTGGTTTGTGACCATAAACTGACAAGATATTAGGTAATCAAAATTATCAACAGTTACCGCAGTCCTTTCATCTGATCTGAATGGCTAATCCGTTGAATATTAGCGATTATATTTGGGTAAAAGCTCTAATTACTACCTAATTTTCTTTGCTGCAGGCCTAAGGACATAGGAAGTCAAATTGTCACTCTGCTTCCTAAAAAACATACATATCTTTACGCATGCGCATATGATATACGACTGGTGCTATGGACACGTCTTGCATTTCACAGAGATATGACTGTGCTAATGGAAACAGGCATTTTTACACGCACGATCACAGTGTCGATAGTCACACGGTTATAACAAATTCAAAATTGCAGAACGGAGGCGCGGTAAACTCAAAATTTAATCGTAAGTTAAGTTAACGATAGCATTTTGTTTGTATATCATAACAAGTCAATAAGTTTTTTACAATATATGCAAGAAGTCAGATGCTAATTTTGTTTTTGACCAATTATGAAATGGCTTAAATATGTCAAATACCTTTTTAATGCTCATATCCTTCTAAGCTAGCTAGGCAGGCCCTACCTACTTAGGTACCGAGAGGCTAGCCTTCTTCGGAATTCCCTTCTACTTAATAGAGGGTCTAGGCCTAACTTTCCCGGGTCTGGCAAAGAGCCAACAAGACAGTGCAGCAAGAAGGAATGCCATCCGTTTCGGCCGCGATGTATAATAGGGGGCCTAGCTAGCTAGTACTGTAACAATATCCAGAAATTTGAAAATCAGGAGTTTTTGTTTTTGTTTATTTGTGAGGATTGATTGGTTGGAATTTACAAATAAATAGGCCTAGGCTTTGCCTAGGCCTATATATCAGTTACAGTACCAGTGAGAATTTGTAAGTTAGCTAAACTTATAATTAGGCTCAATTCTTGTATGTTATGTTCCCATGTCAAATTTACACAAATAAAACAAGTTCTTTGCCTTTCCCACATTCTTTTTATTACTTTTAGGTCAAGACAAATATTTATTATATTATAATTATCACCATTAGGATATTTATTAATCATTCAATTAATCGAATTGACTGAAAACATTTAATACAAAATGTGTTACATTCATGGCCGAATGTGTTCACGACTGAAATGGTCCTTCAACCAAGTAACCCAACAAGCCTAGCCTACTATCTTGTACAAGACTCTAGACCTATACTTAAATAATATGTCAAAATTAATTTCTTTTCCATTTCAGAAAAGTTGTTTTCAAATTAGGCCTACCTCTACTGATTATTAGTGTGGGAGAAAACAAAGATGCCTGGACAGCCATCAAAGTCCATGAAAGAAGTGTTTGAGGAATGCCAAAAAGGTGTACAATCACATAATAAACTTATTAAGGCTCTGAAGACAACTTATGAGAAGGTTTGTACTATTTTATACATTTGTCAATATGACATTAATAAACCTCAAAAATCACCATCAAGTCATGATCGGTAACTCTTTCTCTTTTATTTACTTCCAAATACCAGACAACAGATAAAGAGGCATTCAGAGAGGAATTCATCAGTTTTCTTAAACATGCTATGATCGTCTTTAAAAAGGAGCCCGTCGTGGAACGTACACTTGAGTTTGCTGCAAAATTTGCTGTGTCGTTTGTTGAGGAAGACTCTCAAGAGGAGAGTGAAGATTCTCAACCTGTAGATGATGAAGACAATAACTTCAGCTTGTTTCTCTTTAGATTTCTCTTGAAGGTATTATTATTATAATTATTATTGTTGTTAATTGTTATTTTTATCCTGGGGACTTGCTTTAACCAGTAAGAGCTCATAGCTGTTACGGCACTGACATCTAACCCCCTCACCCAACATACCCCCAGCCTACTCCAATGCGAGCAGTGAATATAACAGAATGAATCTTGCCCAGGAAGAATACTGTATCCAGGCTGTTTACCCCAAGTAGGAAATCAATGATATTTCGCATAATTTAAAATTTCTGCTTCACTTCTACTGCTCAAAAGATCAAATTTGGACTCCCCTACAACAAGTGTGTACTGTATTTGAGTTGTGTGTTCCATAAAGTATTCCATCTATTTTCCAGTCTCACAAAGCCAGGGATCGAGCAGTACGTTTCCGTGTTTGCCAGCTGATCAACAAATTACTGGTTAGCATGCAAGAGGATGCCCAGATTGATGAAGATCTATTTGACGACATTTATCAGTGCATGCTTGTACGGTTGAAAGATAAGTTTCCAGCTGTGCGAATCCAGGCAGTTACTGCCCTCGCTCGACTCCAAGATCCATCGGACTCAGATTGTCCTGTTATTAATGGTAAATTTTCACTAACAGGAATTACTCAAATATGATTGATTAATAGTAATAGCAAAATAGAGGCACCCAGAAAGCATGACTTTCTTTCACTAACTTTCAGTTTCAATTAATGCATAAACGTTTTTTTTAAACAGTGTTAATTGTAGTTGCATATTTATTTTCATAGCATATATGTTCTTCCTGGAGCATGATGCTGTACATGAAGTAAGACGAGCTGTGTTGTCTTGCATAGCACCCTCTACGAGAACATTACCCACAATCATCCAGCGAATACTTGATACTAAGGATTCTGTACGCAAACTGGCTTACCAGGTGAATTTTTGTCCAATATTTTTAACTTACTTAACTTATCCTGAAAATCCTCAGTTTGACGTAGCATCCCTGATAGCTACATGGAAGGAAGCTCTTTTTGTTGCCATTCTGCCTGCTTCGACTACGCTGATGTTTAGTAGCTCTTCAATATCTTTCTCTCATCATTTCCTTGGGCGTCCTCTACCTCTTTTCCCCTCAATTCTGCCTTCCATAAATGTGTTCTCTAGGCAATTGTGACAATTGTGAATATTTTTAAGATTGCTTATTCTTTAGAAGGCTTCTTCTAAATTGATGTTTCATCAACAATTTGTTTTATGTGCTCTTAAAACATTTCATTAACAACAAACAATATACTAGACAAATCTACAAAATAATTGCATTTATTTGCCTTTGAATTTGGGTGGGTCCTCTATTTTGTGGTACCATTGTATAAGGTCATAAAATTAAGGTACAACATATTGCGTTAGAACGTAATTACTCTTTTATTGTCTTTCACAAATATTTGACTGATGAATAAAATTAGAGTGCTGACAGCCATTCAAAAACTAATCTCAGCCTCTTTGTTATATCTTTGCATACAGGTTATTGCTGAGAAAGTCCATGTCAAGGCATTGACGATTGCACAACGAGTGCGAATTCTAAAAACTGGATTGTCAGACCGCTCTGGTAAGAGAAACAACTAAATCACTTGTTGAATTACCGTAAAACCTTGAATATGAGTCCCATGGGCTTAATCTTGAAAAGAAGTCCATCTTGAAAAGAAGTCCCTCTCTTTAGTTTGTAAAATTAATCTCGAACAAAGAGCCCATCTAGAAAAGAAGCTCATGGGTTTCTAATCCAGATCAAGATGTTTAAAAACCAACACGATAGAGTAATTGCATTCTTTAATGCACTTCGAAGAACTAGTGCACTATTCAGAAAAGAATAGGGAACATTAGATTGCCCCCTAGACCATCATCACCAGTGGGGTGGGGGGCACTGCATCGCTGTCCGTTCTCCGGGACAGAGCTGAACTCCCTAATTAATCTACCAAAAATACTAAACACCTCTTTCATGTACTCGCTATAGAAATGGTTCGTGAAACATGTGCTTCCAAGATTATCACAGCGTGGTTGCGGACATTTGAAGGCAACGTGCTGGAGCTCTTGAAGTGCCTTGATGTGGAGAACTCATGTGAGACGGCAGAGATGGCATTGAAGAAGTACATGAAGAGAATACCACCTGAAGAATTAGTGGAAAACTTCGATCTTTTGAATGGAAGGTAACTTGTAAAAAGTATAATAATTGATTAATTATAATTTTTCATTGCAATAAAATCAACTTTATTGGTCAAACCTATAAAATATATGATTTTAAATTGTTATTGCTTTTCATGATGATGATTAAAGCCATAGCCCTCATAGAGCTGTTGACGGCTTCTGGCATTCTGTCTCATCGCTGTTCATAATACAAGCTAAAATTCCACAAAACAGAGGGAATATAATTGAACCAAATGTTGAAAAAAAAATACACTATAAACATGATTCTACCTATTTACTTCCCTGAAATGAATAGAAATTTATTGGGTAATCTAAAAAACTCCAGCACGTTGCCTTCAAATGTCCGCAACCACGCTGTGATAATCTTGGAAGCACATGTTTCACGAACCATTTCTATAGCGAGTACATGAAAGAGGTGTTTAGTATTTTTGGTAGATTAATTAGGGAACAAGAATACTGACAGGAAAGCTGCAAAAAGGCTAAAAGTTTAACAAATTTTTTATAAAATAGTTAAGAAACTTGGAAAACTACCTTCATATATCACATATTTTATATTTTTTCACTCTTCCATAATTTTTTTTTTCTCTTTTGTGGTATAACAACCACCACTTTTATTCATCAATACATCAAGTTATTTGAATTGCAGACATTCTGCATTACAGCCTTTTTGCTATTTCACCTTTTTTCTTGATTTTCTTATTTTTTAAACTTTTCTTGATTCTTATATATACAATAGAATATGCAAATTAAGTCAATAAATGTATGTTATATGAAAATTTAAAAAATAAATTTAAGCATAATTCTATGATATTAACATGATTTCAAAGTTTAGGCATTAACCAATTGTAACCATTATTAATATAGATTTTATTTGACCAGTATATCCCTTAATTTTTTTTCTCCCTTTTTCATTTTTATATACACTCTTCCATAATTAATTTGTATCTACAAATATTTCATTACTATGGTTATATATATATATATATAATTGTATAATTCTAAATGTGTAATTTGTATTACTATAATTGTGTCTATGCATGTCAGACTTGTCATTGAAGAAAGTTCATTAACCTGTGAGAATGTCCTCTACTGGCGGTGTCTATGTGAACATCTGAATTCACTCGGTGGCCAAAACATTGATCTCCTTGACAAGCTGTTACCAACAGTTTCATACTTCGCTTCGTACATCAATAGGTAGGTCATTGTAAACCCAATTTGCATCCTGGGAATGTGTCTCTATGGCAAGATTCTGATATTCAATCTTTGTTTTTAATTTTAATGTACATCCTAAATTTAGTTATCAATTACAGTTTGAAGGTCTGGATTTCATTTTGAAAGGTCCTCATATCTTGAATTACTGTATCTCATATTTTATGTATCACTTATCTCATACTTTCTCACATTATTTCATTATAATATATCTATATATCATATTTTACTATCTATTTTAACTTTATCTCACAATATCTAATTTCTTAGTTTGCTGGATGTCATACTTTCTCATATATTTTACTGTATCTCACAGTTATCTCATTCTCAATGTACTTATCGTATATTTTCTCATTTTGTCTCACATTACCACAGTTATCTACAGGAGTTCACAGTTTCCTCATTAGATGTGACAAAAGTGGAAGAGACTTTAAAGTCTGAGTTCATAGGTGAACAGTTGTTGATTTTGACAAACATCTTGGATTTGTCTGATGAAGTTGGCAGGTAATATATAACCATGTTACAGTAATACTTTAATAAATAATTGAGTTTGCCATTTATGTTTATCTGAATGGACCTTGAATATTGCTGCTAAGGTACCACAAAACAACGGTGGAAAAACACATGCAAATAAGTGCGTTTGTGAGACAACACGTGTGTTTGTGAGACAACACGTGTGTTTGTGAGACAACACGTGTGTTTGTGAGACAACACGTGTGTTTGTGAGACAACACGTGTGTTTGTGAGACAACACGTGTGTTTGTGAGACAACACGTGCGTTTGTGAGAAGATGTGTATAAGAGACAGACATATTGCGTTAGAACGTAATTACTCTTTTATTGTCTTTCACAAATATTTGACTGATGAATAACTGTCTCTTATACACATCTAGATGTGTATAAGAGACAGATTCTGATGTCATCATATTGCCATCTAAATTCAAAAAACTGAATTTTTATTTATGACGTCATTATTTTTATTCTCATTCAAACTATCTCGCTTTTTCTTGATCAATCGTCTCCCACCTTCGAGCATGTTATAGCAGAGACAATTTCCTTTCAATTGATCGGTTGTCAAGTTTGATTGACACTCCGGAAAGGTCCATTCTGTCTATCATGTCTGAGTTTGATTTTTTTTTTTTTTTTTTTGCAGGAAAGCTTTAAGGTCAATAGTGCATGACCTGATGATTGCACCAAATATCCCAGCATCCCTCACTCCCCTTTTGATGAAACTGATGGTGAAGCTGCTAGGCAACCAGGAGGAACTCATCCAGCAGATTGCAGAGATCATTTCTGAAATAAGAGCGCCAATAATTACAACAATTCAGAAGACACCAGATAAAGATGAATGTCGACAGAAAGAATTGAAGGTGACTAACAGAAAAGCTTAAGAGATTGTTTTTACTGGAAAAAGAGGAGAACTGATGATGAATAACAAAATAATAAAACTACCAACAAATAAATATAAAGGGTTGCTAGAAATCACAGTATTAATAAACATTTTATTAGTAATTACATATTTTTTATTTTAAAATTCTTGAAGTGATTCAGTAACCGATATTAACTATGGCAGTACTGTACATTCCAGAGTATGATTGTGTTCTTTGGTTTTACTTTATTTACAATAGTTGGCCAGTGTTCGCATGTTGTTGAATGAAGCTCGGGATGAACTGGAGACCTGTGTAGAGGCTCAAGAGTTTGGCAAAGCAGCAGAACTCAAGGACAAAGTTGCAGACCTGGAGAACACCAAGGAAACGCTGACCAAGGAAAAAGAACCACAAGTGGAGGAGATTCAAACAGAAAAAGTATAGAAGTGCCACTTGGGAATTTGAAGATAGAACCCCTATCAATAAAAAAAAGAATTTAAAGGAGAAATATAGTAATAATACAAAGAACTTGTCGAGGAATCTTCCTAAACCTGTGCATTAAAATGGTCTGTCACCAAACCTGAATGGACCGATGCACCTGCGATATCATCGCAAATCTAGTTGTGAGCGTCAACATAATGAACATACACAAGATTTGTAATTTCAAAAATTGAATATAATGTAACTGAGTATGCTAAATCAGTTCTGCCCTTTATTTTCGTGGCCCTGTATTTTCAAGCTTTTTACAATTTTAAATATTTTGTTTGTTTTTTTTTTCTCCACCATTTTATTGCGAAAATCGCAAAAATTAAGGGTGTGCAAAAATAAAGGGCTTTACAATATTAAATTGGTAAACTTCTACTTTATCATTGGTAGGATTAATACTTATGTTGGGACAAAACTTAGATGTCCTGAGCACTGAGGTCTTTCCACTTTTCACGGTCTTCCATCAAACACTTTATTTCATTTGTGTATTCGTCATTTGAGTACAGGATTAATGATGATAGTTATTTTAATAGCCTCGTAAAGGAAAAAAGCTATGGTGGAGAGTAATTGTATTTGCAGCGAATTGTATTAAATAGGAAGACAGATCCTGTTAATATTGTACCTTGTTGATTATGCTAATAGCTAATAATATATTGTTAATACTTAATAGTGGAAATTATCAGTTATTATAAAAAAAAATATACTTGGTATTATTATTTTGTTATTGTTGTATATATTACCATCCAGCTAACTAAACTTGAATTTAAATGTGTAATTATAACTATTGTTGCTAATGTTCTTTCAGAATGATCCTCAAACCCTTGTGAAATGCTTGACCATAGCAAGTGAAATGCTTCAACATTTACAAATGAGGTCATTCAACCCTACCCTGAGGACACTTATTGATACATTGGTAAGTTCACTGGGCCTAGAGTTATATTTGTTAGGTCTCAAGCTATATTTTCTTACCTAAAACTACCTTAGATAGTTCTAGAGCTACATTTGTTAGGTCTAGAAGTACATTGTACTATAGGCAGAGTAGATATGGACCAGCAGGTTGTCCCATTGGGGTTCTTTTCAACATTCTGACTCTTGCAAACCAGTTAATATTATCAAAGAGAATAGAACTGCAAGAGATCCGACTCTCTGTGTTTCATTGGATCATAATCCTATTTCAAGGTACTATCATAAACTAGAGGGTGTCCTTCAGAATGCAAGTCTCAAGCTCTATTCGAATTCTAATAGGGCTCCCCCTATCTTGTGGTAGTACTGTACTTATTTTTTATGTATTATTGTGTGCCTACAAAATCAGGGCACTCAGACCTCTTGCAATTCTTTAATCTCATATTATTGTTTGTTAAATTGTAGCTTTTGTTTATGAGTGCATTTCCTATGTATATAGCAAAGAATTCAACTACATATGAGGTATGCCATCCCAACACCAGCGTACTGTCGCTGATTGTTCAACTAAGTAATTAGCATAAATATATGGCAGTATTGTATACTTTAGTACAGAGAAGCTGTAATACCTTTACTCATAACTTTGGCAGTAGTAAATAATCCATCATTCTAAAGCTTAGAATGCGCAGAATATAAATATATTATAAAGTCAATTTTGATGTGTTTGTCACTGATGGTTTGGCATGGCAAGCGCTGCATGACTTAACAGTTCTTTAAGCTCTAGTACGGAGAAGCTGTATTACTTTTACTCATAAATTTGACAGTAGTAATAATCCATCATTTTAAAGCTTAGAATGTGGAGAATAAATATATTAAAATTTCAATTTTGATGTTTTGGTCACTGGTGCTGATTTTGGCAAGGCAAGCCCTGTATAACTTAACAGTTAGTTAAGCTGTAGGTGTGATCATTATTCCCTTCTTTCCTTGTTTTTAGGTTCTACCAGGCATTTTACATGAGCATGAGCTAGTAAGAGATGTTGTCGTTCGATGCCTGGGCCTAGCCTGCCAAATGAACCGGGACTTTGCACGACAGCATCTACTACTCTTTTTACAGGTATGGCTCCTTGGCTTAATTATAAATCAAACCTCCATGTTTTATTTCATCCAAGCAAAACTTTTTACATGTAGAATAAAAATAGAACAGGAAGAATAACTGGGCTGCTTCAGAATAAAAAGCAAATCAACGTTATTGTGCATAATAAACAAAATTTGTCGCGTATTTTGTGCATCCAAAAGTTCAAATTTGGACTTGTCTGCTTTTAAATGTGTTCTATGATGGTGCAATTCTTTGGTCATCTTGGCATAACAAATAGAATAGCTAGTTCGGTTTTGTTAAAAGTGTATTTATATCCAAATGCAATCACCGATACAATCAAACCCAATGACGCAGAGGTTGCATTTCTGCTTCTCAACCTGTAAGTTTGGTGGTTCAATCCATCGCTGTGTATTTTGCTTGTGTCCTTGGGCAAGGCACCCTATCTATGGTTGTCTCTCTCCACCCAGGAGTACAAGTGGGTACCAGGTAGGTTTAAACAGAAAATGCGCTGATTACAACTGAAAAATTATGGAAATCTCCCCAAAGACCTGAGTATGTGTTCCATATTTTCTTGGTCCAATGACCAGGGTTAATAATGTTGAGCGCATAGAGATCTTTACAACATGCTGTAAGTCGACCATTATTTTTACCATTATTATCGCCCTTTGTCAAAATGTATTATTTCATTGTGACCATGGCATAAGGTGTGTAGCAGTGTATTACTAGACCAGTATATTGCATGTTGTAATATTCTAAAAAGTCTTTCCCAAAATCAGAGCAATTGATTTGAAACCTCAAAGATTAAAAATGAACCTCAAAGTTTGCCAAACTGTCTAACATTTATATGTATTTATTTTTATGATCTATTTGTGTAATCTTTTTGTGTTGTTCACTTATTTTTAAGGTTTACCAAGTTGATCAGAATGAGGTTAAGGTCACTGCCCTCAAGGTCATTTTTGATCTTCTGTTGACCTACGGATTTGAAACCTTCAAAATTTCATTTGTCGGCCAATCAGAAAGCTCAACTGAATCTGATGAAGACCAGAAGGGGGAGGGTGATCAGAACAATGAAGAGAATAGCAGCAAAACAGCTAATAGTCTGCTGAATATTCTGATCAGGATTTTAGAGAGTGAGGTATGTACCATGAACAGCGCCCTCTTTCATATATTATACTTTTTTAACTCTTTCACTACGTAATTTCCTATTCCATATTTCCCATATCTGGACGGAATAAAATGCAGGAAATTTGGGGAAAATAGGAGATATATAGAAAAAGCATTATAAGTTTTTAATTGGCTTTCAAAAATATACAAAAGTATATATATTCTTTATCCTTGAGACCTTCTCTGTCTAATTATAAGTCCACCTTGCCCATGGCCACGGACAGGACCAGGACCACGACCACGCCCTCTGACATTCCGTCTCCGATTTGGTACAGGCTGAAAGTTGTCACTGTCGTTGGTGCTAGTGTTATGCACACTTTCACTATCATCACTATCATGACTAGGCCTAGCTAGGCCTACACTATCATCATCGCTAATATCTATGTCATCTTGTGATTCAGTGGCAGTATTTGAACAATCACTATCACTCTGGGTATCATCATCATTGACATCCCACTGTGCAAGTCTGCGAAGCACTTCTTCTGCAGTTAAATTACGTCTCCCAAGCGCAGCCATTAAAATGTTACTCAAAACAACAATGCCTGCTTGAAGCCTGTTTCAGCCTTTATTCAGACGGAGAGCCGCCCTCAACGGCTCAAAATAAGGTCAAAGGTCATGCAGATTGTTGTTCAATATAATATATGCAAACGTCATGGGGATATCCCCGGGATATCCTCATTTGTTTACAGTGACGTCAACAAGCCGCTGTCAGCGGCTTTCCGTTCAAACTGCATATTTTATCTGCGCCGCTGTGAGCGGCTCGCCGTAGCGAAAGAGTTAATAATGTGTAATATGCTTTTGCAAAGAGATTGCCATTTACTGAGATTGAGGACTGTTATAAGTTTCAGTGGTGTGGGGGAGGGGTATTTGCCATACTAAACAAGAAAAATTCTTCAAATGAACCCTACCAGGGATTTTTCATACCAGGACTCTAGTCGGCACCTAGTTTGGATCCCCGTCGGACACCTTCTCGGCAAATTTCTGGTGCCATCGCTGATAAGTTTGTATTAGCTGTCTTTGGCATTTGTGCCTAAATTAATATAATTGAATAAATTATTATAATATTGTTATTCTTATTGAAACTGAATCCTATCGTGTACTAATTATTTTCAGAATTCTGAGTTACGCACTGTAGCCGCCGAGGGTTTCTGCAAACTCATGCTGTCTGGTCGTGTCATCAGTTCAAAGTTGATATCCAGACTTGTTCTTCTTTGGTACAATCCAACAACGGAAGAGGACCACCATCTACGCCACTGCCTTGGCACCTTTCTGCCCATGTTTGCTTTTGTGGCTAGGTATATTTTTGTATCAACTATTTTGGCAACACAAGAATATATAAACAGAGTTGTATGTCAGCTTTTGTATTAAGCCCTTTCCAGACTATCAAAATTTACTTGACAAAACACGTGACATGCCTAAATATGGTCATGATGACATCACATCATGACCATATATAGGCACATCATGACTATATATGGGCATACATAGTGTGAATAGAGCTTTGCAGTAACTTATCCTCTTCCCTCTGCAGACGCAACCAGGAATGTCTTGAGGAAGCATTTCTGCCAACACTGGAGACACTGTTTAATGCTCCAACCACATCCCCTCTTTCCAAAGTAAATGACTCTAATGTTGCTGACCTGCTCATCCAACTGATGGACCAGCGTAATTTGCAAAACTTTGCTCAGGAGAACTTACAGGTATGGCTCAGTGGATATCCTCCTTCATAATACTTTTCGGAAGTGGTGTTGCTAAACATTTTCCTTAGCAAGATTTTCTAATGTATCCTCAGAGTCAGACCTGATGTTTTTCTCGTCGGTAGTTTGCACACTGTTGGGCAGAGCGTTATAAATTTGGTCCACCACCTCGAAAGATGGTTTTGACCCCATCCTATTTAACCTTGAAAACTGGTATTGGATCAAAACCCAGCTTACATTGTTGTTTCAGCAGAAAATTGTTCATTTTTATAGCTATTTTTATTTTACTTTTAAGTGTTAAAAATATAAGTTTTTGAATGAAAATTATAGTTTGTGCAATGTATGTAAGAATTGTTTTGTTTTTGTACAGGAGAGCAGTGTTCATGACAGCCTAGGCCTCAAGATCTGCAACCATGTGCTAAGCAACCCTGATGCCCCTGGATGCCGTGTCTTAATCAAGTCTCTGAACAAGCTATACATCACCCCTACAATACACACCACCACCTTCAAAGATATGTTGACGCTGCTGCAACAAATGTTAGAGGTATGTCTATTGCCTGGGATACCTATGCCTATGTTTTCATATTTAGCAAATAGTTTTGCCAAAAACATCCACGACAGAGAAGAAAATAGAAATAAGTTGTATTGGTGAATGTTAATAGTGTAGTAAAGGGATGGTTAAATGCTTTAAATTTATGTAGTTAGGAAGAAATATACATATATTATTTTCGGATCGAGATTTCAAGGCAGCAACAGGCGTTAACAAATTTTTAAAAACTTATTATTTTCTGAAATTTCCTTTTTTTCATGGCGGCAGGTGGGCTAATTGGCCAAAAATGTATTTGAAATCATTATTGGCAGGTGGCAGGTTCGCTTAACAAGTTATTAAAAAAGTCTTTCCTAATGTGAAAAAAAAATCTTTTGTTTGTGGAAATACAGTAAAAGTTTCAATGTGTACTGAAAAGATGTATATTTTTTGTACATGTAGTTTAAGTTATGAATTCCTAAAAGAATTATAGAAGATGTTTTTACCCATATTTATATTATTAATGCACAAAACATACATTTTTTTATCTGTGTTTCATTTGGTAGTTATTTGACATTTTGAGATGAGCAATTCCTTATTTATTTAAAATTTTGTGGTTTTGGTATATTTTAAATATTGAGGATGTTACTGTGTATAGGTAATTGACGATAAAGTGAGCAAAAAAATTCTGGACAAGTTGAAGGCCAGCTTAACAGCAATGATTGTTGATGAAATACCAGAACCATCAGCAAGCAACGAGAAGGCTCCAACCGAAGCTGTTGAAGAGAAGACGAATGTCATTGATGGAAATAACGACAACGAAGAAATGGGAAATGTAGAGGAAGACAAAAGCAAGGAAGGAACAGATGATACTCAAGAATCGAATAATACACCAATGGAAGTTGAGACCAATGGTAATGGTGATAGTGTTGGTAGTGAAGAACGGATTAATACAAAGGCATCCAAGACCAAGAAAAAGTAAGTACTGTAGTGAGAACAGTTTGAAAAGCTAATTGATGGAGGCTGCAAACTGTAAACATAGTTTGGAAAATAGTTTTAAACTATTAGTAATAGAAAGAATGTGCCCACAAAATCAAATTGCTTTCAGTTCATTCTTGAATAAAATTGTGATTCTGTCCTTGCAGAAAAAAAACATGATATAATTTTTATGTTTGATGTCAATCCATTCGGATTTGAACCTACAACTCATGAAGTATTGTACTGATTGGACGCCTCTACCAGGTGAACTAGTGCTTCGGCAGCAATTTGTCACCAAATTTCTAATAATTTCACAAAGTTTTCTGCTTTTTTGTTGCAATTCTATTCTATTCATTTTTTTTGCCAGAAGACACACTAGCAAAATAAAAGATATCATGCACTAATCTAGTATCATGCACCAATCTGGCAGATGGTTAAAAAGTAACAAGTTACTTTATAAAAACAACAGTGCTAAATTATTTTTTTATTATGGATTATTTATTTAATCACTGCATCTTTTTTTTCTTAGTAGAGATGATGAAAATAAAGAGCCAGTGATAGTTGTGAGGCGGTCGTCACGGAGAAAGAAAGCCACTAAGCAATCTGTAAAAAAGAAACCCATTCGATGTCAATTGTATTCAGATTCAGAAAGTGATACTGAGGACTTTCAAAAGTAAGTAACATCTTCTTTTATATTTTCTTTTTATTCATAGAGTGAACATGCCCTTTTCATCATATTCAAACACAAGCTGAAGAGAGTTGAGACAAATCTATGAACACACCCTACATCTGTCTAAACAATATTTAGCACTTAATGTCAGGAAAGAGAAAAAAAAAATATTTAGCACTTTAATTATTAAATGCAAGGTCTGTGCATGGTGTTATTGTACACAAATAGAATGTTATGCTTTGCAATTGAAAAATGTTCCAACATTTGCAGTTGTTGCTGGTAGTTGGGCAATACTTGCGATATGCCAATATATGGGCATGATGAAGTCATGACCCTCCCTATATGAGCCAATCACAGGAATTTGTCTCATAAAATTTTATGTGTGTACATAGCTTTACTTTAGTCTACAAACATGGTCAATAACTTGATTCAACGCTTTGTAAAGAAATCTCTGTAGTGTAGGGTAAAGTTTTTTTTATATTATTCTTTTCTTTGTTGATTGTGTAATTTAATTTATAAATATTATTATTAGATTTTTATATTGGTAGACTTTTTGTGGTTGATCGATGGATTGATAAATCTGCTAGTGGATTAAAGAATAATTAAAATAATTGTTTGTTTCCTTCGCAGTTTAAAGCTACCACGCAAAGTAAAGGCTTTGAGCGAGTTAAATCTAAGCGACAGTGATTAACTTCCTCCAGTAGTATCATCTCATTGGAAACAACAAGTGTTTAAACTTCTTTTTCATGTTGTACAGTATTTTATAATTACAGTAGTATTTAGTATTCCTAGACAATTAAAAAAAGGGGGGCCCTTAAAACAACTTCAGGAGGTTGTGTTTTATAAATAAGATATCATGTAATTTTTATCAATTGAACTATATAATAGATTATGATTAGGCATTTTAAATAAGATAATTTTAACAATTCAACTAAATTTTATTTGTATGGATTGCTTTTGTTTTTTGGGGTTTTTTTACATTAATATCAGTCATCATATGTTTATCAGATGATTATCAATTTTAGCTTTCTATGTTTGAATAAAAATTTCAATTTTATGTTTGGGATTATTCTCATTTTGTGTTTTGTTTTTTAAGAAAGTGTTTGCAACATGTTGTATTTTTAGATAGCTCAATTTTATACAAATTCGAAAAAAAAGAAATCGAGTATGGGACGCCAATTACATTTGGTATGGCGCGCATTAAGTGCAAAAAAAGTAAATAAACCAAAATTAGGGCCTGGAACCCAGGCTACCTTCAACTGTACACAATGCAGTATCGAAGATGTACAGAAAGTGGTACAAGCCCCTAGAAAAATGCTGCACACGCCATGTGCCCCAACCCACTAAACATTTGCAGTTGTGGTGCCAGCATCTGATATCTGGTGGAGAGGGGTTGGCAAGTGAGGGGAAAGGTAAAATTTTAGAGGGGGGTGGGTAATATATTTTTCATTAGAAGACCAGAAATAAAATTATAATTTATAAAATCACAACATTAACAGGTAACGCTTCTAATGTGCTTGTTGTTTTTATTTAAATGTGCAGTATTTTATTACAAGTGTAAAAGGTTTGTTAAATGCATTGTTTTTAAGTGGCCAGTGGCCTTAAAATGGCAGACCAATTGAAGCAATTAATTTTGTTGACCAATCTTATATAGTGTTCATTTTTTCTGGCAAAAATGGGGGGGGGGGAGAATGTGGTCACTGAACATTTGCCAAGCAAAATAGTATATGACTAATAATAATATTTATACTGTCAGAAATTATTGCATAAGATTTCAAATTAGTACATGAAATTAAGCGACACAGGATATACAATTTTCATTAAACATTACTACTACTATTTTACTTTGTATAACTACAATTCAAATATCACCATCAAAATTATTTGACGTTTTCTCATTGTGAATGTTGCATTTTATATCTAATTATTGATCTGTAAGGTGACAAGCTTATTGGTCAGGATTTGCTTCAGTCTACCCAGCTGTATCAATCAAATTGTTGGGAGTAACCTGTTGTTGACTAGCGTCCTTTCCAGGGGGATCATCATACTCTCATCCACTTCACACTACTTAAATTACTGGGGATGGCTCCAGCCACTATGAGCCCATTGGCTCGGCATGGATTCACTTTTACTCTAGGCCTACTTGCATTTTTCTAAAAGTATCATCCAGTGAATAACCAAAGAGTTCATAATCTCGTGAGTAATACTGTCTTAATTTCTTAATAAATGTTGGATCGATTTTGGAATATTCCTGTCGAAGTTTGATAGCAGCGTTTGATTCGTGGATTACTGGAAACTTTGCAATGCCATTGACTCCTAGCCATTTAAGCATGTATGGCCCTTCCAGTGCTAGTTCTTCAAATCTACCAATAAACTCTGGCTTAAATCTACACGGATCGCACGATCGGTACATAGGTAGAAAATGGTCTTGGTACGGATCAATTTCGTAATGCGGGCCTAGATCAATAACGAAATTGATAAATTCATTAAATGTTATGCTCAAGTTGAATTTGTAATTATAATTCTGTGCTAACGAATTATTTCTGTATCTTCTAGCTATATCCTGACCATATTCAAATTCCCAACTATGAATCACTTTAAAGTTGTCTCCCCTGAATTTACTAAGATATAGAGACAGCAAACGCGTTATTGGATCCCGCACAAACATAGCTTTCTTATACGTATTCATCTTGCGTTGGAACTCATCAGGCGATAAGTTATACATTAATCTCTTTCCGAATCTACCAGATATAAAGTATATGCTATGCAAAATTGTTTTCCAAGTTGTACATGCCACCTTCGGAACGTAACAGTAGATAAATTTGTGCTTGTCATCTACTATCATATGACCTATGTCGTAATATCTGTTAACGAACGAAGAGTTCTGATATCCGTGTTCTTTACAAACTCCGAGGACGTGCTCCACTCGTTTTTTAATTCTCTGCGGAAGATCCTTGTCATTATTTTTTGATTTGATCTGGAAATAGAAGTAAATAAAACGTTTCAAAGCGTAAATCATTCTTCTGCAAAGGCATATGGCTAGATGTAGGCCTTACTGTACTTTATTGATTACTAATTTAATATTTTCCTCGCGGTAAACTGACTTAAAATTATTGAACTGAAAACTTTGCATAGCATGCAGTCTTGAACCATCTTGAACTAAAGACCTAGGAAGTGCAGGCAAGAATCTTAAGCACCAAGACTATCCAATTCATATATATATATATATATAGGCCTATATATCATTTAGACAACAGTGCTTGCACTACAGGCTGTTTCATGAGGTACT